GTCACAGTAATCCCAGGATTTCTTGTTGTGACAAAACCTTCCTACCCTACCCTAGGAACCAAGTCTGCTCACTCATGTCTGGGGGATGGAGCAAGACATATTACTATCAGTGACATTCAGTTAACACTCTCAAAACAGGTACAACAGTAAGACAGGCCTCCCTAACACAGACACAGCTGAATTGTGCTTATTTCTTTGCAACTAAACACTTGCAAAAACAGACACCTCTAAAATTAGGAACCAGCATATAGCCTTTTTCAATCACCCATTTCCTCGCTAATTTTGGCTAAATCCCGCCATTCTGTCCCACTCGGACTCTGCTGTACGTACCATATCCCATATCTACTTTTATCCCATATCCCACCAAACCTACATGACCCTCTAAAGTAAACAGCACTATTACCACTTCAAAGTGTACATGTATCTGTCAGTGTCAAGAGAGAGTTCACTGTATTATTCAAAAAGTTTCCAGGTTGATTGATTCCAGGTTGCATTGCATTGTATTGCATAATTTGCATTTTCCTTGAGCTACACTCTCGGAAAACTGTTCGCTTCTCGGAACAGATAATGTTCAAGGACAAATATCCGGGAACATTTTAGCGCCAAATTAAATGGAGGCTATTGTTTAAATAAGCTGAACTTTTTGACCAATCAGAATGTCCAATACACATATTCACCTGATTTATAATACTAAGGTTAATCACTGTAATCAGGAGATCTGCTTTAAGGTTTAGTGAAACCTTTATATTATATTATTAAATGGCTTATGTTTGTAGCCAAAACAACCCACACTCTGATTTGCTAATTCTAGGGCATTATTCTCCCATATATTATGCCCATGGGCTGTTTTACGGCCTGCAAAACCAAAGCAAAAAGCCATATAATAGACAACTTATTAACTGCGAGCGTTCAGTCTTCATGGGAAAATCTCAAACCTTCCCCTTGCTGTATTGACCTCACTATATTGCTTGGGCCGGTATGGCGAGGCCTCGGTTTGAGATTTTCACGTAAATACCTCACTCTCAGTTGATAAGTAGTTATTTATAGCATACACCAGAACAAAGGGGAAATATTACCAAATTGTACCAAGGGTAAATTGAACTACGACATGTAGAAGCTGGCATACAAATGATGTCCTTTTAGGCAGAATTTTGCAACCTTGGTGGAACTTTGGCATATGCAATGTGCCTCAGATGAGAGGGTATTTAAGTCAACTTTGTATTGATAACAGAATTCAGAGCCACCTAATTGACATGTACAATAATAGGCTTGATAACCACAAAAAATGCTTTTCTTATTTTGTGAGACACAAATAGTGGCCCTGCATTCTGTTATATAGGCCTCCCTATGTAAACACTAGTGGCCTCACTTTGTGTTGTGAGTATCGATG